AGGAAGGAAGGAAGGAAGGAAGGAAGGAAGGAAGGAAGGAAGGAAGGAAGGAAAATTTCTGCCTTCTGGAATCCTGAGATGAATATTGGTTTAGAAGAGACAACTGTTCGACTGTCCGGTGTCTGCGCTGGCTGCCTGCACTGCCTCTTCTGTGGGCTGCCCTCCCTCCGGCAAGGTCCACCGGCGGCCGGGGGGGGGGGACAGGGTTACTTCCCTTTCCCTTTGGCCTCTCAGCAGGGCGCCCCATCCCTCACATAAACACAGACCCACTCTCACCAGTTTCCAAGACTCCTCTCACCAGCTCGGCCTTGGCCTTCTCTTTTCATATATATTCTCTCTCCCTAGGTGATCTCATCTGGTGGCTTTAAATACCATCTATATGCTGGTGACTCACAAATGTATATTTCTGGCCCAGACCTCTCCCCCGAGCTCCAGACTCCTATACCCAACTTCCTGCTTGATGCCTCCACGTCCAAAATCATCTGAAGCTCTCTCAGGTCTCCTGCCCCCAGGCTGTTTGCTCCTCTCTCCCTTCCGGCGCTTTCTCGAGTTTTCTGGGTGTTCCACTGGGAAGGCGAGGATCATCTCAGACCATTCTGCTTACCTGCCAAGCCCCGAGTGAACAGCTGCTGGTGCCATTTTCCGACAGCAAGCTCCAGTCTGTCTAGGTGGTGGCTCGAAGCCGAGATCCAGGCACAGGTGAGGCTGAGAGTCAGGAATCCAGATCAGCCTGGGAGGGACACTGAGAGCCTGTCTCAGAGAGGAGGGGGAAGAGAGCAGAGCAAAGACAAAGGGAGAGGAGGGGAAAGAGGAGGAGAGCAAGCCAAGGCAGAACTCTCAGCTTTTCATTTCCTCCCTCCCTCTCTCAGGCTTCCCTCGTGTTCAAGCCAAGGCCTTTCAACTGATCTCTTGATAGCCACAGGCCTGGTCTGATTAAACCGCACCGTTTCCCACCTCCTAAATCCTAGCCTCAACCATTAGCAAGAACCAGTCAGACCCCCAGTGTCCTTACGTAAAAGCCTGTACAAGGGCTTCAGGCCAGCCCAACCGCCGGCTCATCTCCCATTTCCTCCAAGCTTTTTAGCCATGCTGGCCTCAGACCACTATAGTCTAGGTGCTCATCAAGCGGTAGATTTGCTTTTCTGAGCTAGGGTTATGTGGCGTAGTCCAGGCTGTCTTCAGCTGTGGGATCTTGCCTTCGCTTCCCAAGCGCTGGGCTCACAGGCATGCTTACCCAAGGTCCCCATTGCTTCCCAGGAGCTCCCAGGCTGTACCTCAGCCACTAAAGCTCCATTCTAGAGGCAGTTAAGGCCTCATCTTGGAAATGCCGGCTGACACATCTCCTGTAGGAAGGGAGTCCCGAGGTACCCCGGCTCTGGGCCATCCTTCTCCCATCTCACTTGCCGGCATCATCTGTGTGTCTGTCTATCTCCCCAGAAGGCTGTGAGGCTGGAGGCCTAGAGGGTATTTAAGAAATGATGGGGTAATGGGGCGTAGGTACGGCCGATGCAGAGCCTCTCCCACTGTGAACCGGGAAGGCTTGTCACTGTCTGCCATGGCCCTGGGCTCCCACCTTTGGAGGAAGTTTTGCAAAGCATGTTGGGATGAGTCTAAGTTGTCCACTATGAGAAGATAGCAGTGGAGGACTCACTGATCGCCCTGTTCCTTTCATGCCAGCCCCTGGATCCAGGCCAACAGCGCCCTTGCCCTGTGGTGCGGGCTGGTCTGGAAGGCACTACAGAGAGCCTGGAAGTCCCAGACATACTTTCTGCTCGCCTCCCTCAAGTACTGGGGTCGCAGGCATGTGCCAGCGGGCCTGGCTTCTTCCTTCCTTCCCCCGAAGAGCTATGAAGGACACATGCTTCGTCAACAGTAGAATCTGCTCTCCAACACACCAGAGGACAACTTGTCGGATCCTCTCCTTCCTTCCTTCTATCACGTGGGCTCCTGGAAGCAAACACAGGCTCGTGTGGCAAGTGCCATTACCCTCTGAGTCACAGGGTCCCCCCACGCCCTCCAATGTGCATGTTTCCAATGTGTTCTTTGACGACAGGCGCAAGGCGAGGTTTAGAAGCATTAAGAGGGCACACACCTTTAATCCCAGTGCCTGGAGGCAAAAGCAGGCAGATCTCTGAGACCAGCCGGGGCTACACAGTTGTCTTTAAGAGAAAAAAAAAAACAAAAAAAAAACAAAAACAAAAACAAAAAACAAAACATCCAGAAAGTTGTGTGTTGGTGGCTAAGTCTTTCTTATGCTTGCCTTCCCCACTCCACGGAAACCTCATTCTTTAGTGGTCACCATAGTTACCATTTCCTTGTGCAGTCTTCTGGAAATAATACAAGCACAAATAAGCGTGTGTATAGGTCTTCCCCTCACTTAAACGGGAGCATTCCACACGTGCTGCTCTGCTTTCTGCATATCGGTTTAAGTGCAAGTGAGACTGTGAGACACAACTCCCCCCTCTGCATATATATGTCTCCTTTTTCAGGGCTGCATACTATTTTGATATTGGAACTTATGTCACAGCTGATTTAACCAGTCTCCTATGCACGGACATTTCATTTGTTTCCTTTTTAGAAGTTGTAGGTAGTCAGATGATGGAGGCACACGCCTTTGATCTCAGCCCTCGGGAGGGAGGCATAGGCAGGTGAGTCTGAGTTCAAGGCCACCCTGGTCTACAGAACAGAGTGAGTTCCAGGCCAGTCAGGGTTACACAGAGAAACCCTGTCTCAAAAAAACCAAAACCAGGGCTGGAGAGATGGCTCAGAAGTTAAGAGCAGTAACCATCCTTCTAGAGGTCCTGAGTTCAAATCCCAGCAACCACACGGTGGTAAACTCTGGTGTCCTCTTCTGGAGTTCAGGCATTTACGCAGGCAGAACACTGTATATATAAATCTTTAAGTTGACTAATTAATTAAAAAAACCCCAAACCAACCAACCAAACGAAAAGCTGTAGGTAAGAATCTTGAACTTCCATTCTTTAGCCTGTTGCCTGGGATATCCGTAGGATGAAGTCAGAGAGCCGGAATGTCAGGGTCAAAGAGCACGTGTGTGCGGTATCGCCATGCAGTGTCAGGCCGGCTGCTGCGGAAGTGTCACTAACTTGTTTAACTGACACTTTAGGTTTGTCCACTCGGTAGGTGATGGGTGTTGTGTACATAGTCTGAGTTCACCTTACTCTCACTTTAAAGAAAGTTTGAAAACACCATCAGGTAAAATTTACACGTTAACATTTACGGCGGTGCCTTTTCTCCTTGGTGCTGGAGCTCAAACCCAGTACACGCCAAGCACACACGGTACCAGGGCCCCCAGCCCTTGACCATCCTCAAGTGTACAGGTGCTCAGTGGTTGGGCAGCAGGATTTCTCTGTGGAGTGTCAGTAGGGGGCACGGGGGACTCAGAGATGAACCAGCCCGTTCTCTGTGGGCCAGCTGATAGGAGACTCACGTCAACAGGCAGGCAAGGCTGTCATCAGGGCCGAGTCTGGCGGTTCCTCCGGCTAAAGGATAAGAGGAGGGCGGTTGTGGTGGGTGCTAGGAACGGGTGACATGGAATGACCCGGAAAGGGCAGCTCTCCGGAGCAGGGGACCTGTACCTGAGCAAAGGCCCCGAGGCCTGGAGGTGGAAAGGTGAGCTCTGAAATGAAGGCTAAGTGTTACCTGCCTGGGCAGGGGGTCCCCAGCTTGAAGGGCCTCTCTCTAAGGGTTTGGTCTTTCCAGGAGGTAAATTTAGGACACAAGATCAAAGGTTAGGGTTGAAGCTCCCGGTGGGTGGCACGTAATCCCACTGAGGCAGGAGGTCCAGGAGTTCAAGGCCAAGCCGTCTAGAATCGTTAAGGTATTAAAAAACAAGACAGAAGGGTAGTGGTGGCCTGAGGAGGGAGGCCCTGTGGAGCAAGGCTCTCCGGGACTGCAGAGTCAAGCCCTGAGGTCCTCCCTCTGCGCCTGAGGGACAGATCTGGAGGGCTGCGGGAGGTGTGGGTCTGGAAAAGAGACGCAGGGGCCTGGGTTGGGTCACAAGAAGGAAGGAGAGGTGGGGAAAGCCAGTGTCCTGAATTAGGTTCAGCGCAGCTGGTAGGTCCCTAGGTCATTGCGGATCTCTAAGCCACACCCACGGACACACCGAGGGGTAGGACGGCTGCCCTTTTCCCTTCCCCCTCCGGTGCTTTCTGGGATGGGGGTGTATGCGCGCGCGAGAACCAGCGTCGCTATGGCAACCAGGCCGGGGTGGTCGGGCCCTGGAGCCCTGGGGAGCCAGCGATGGCAAGAGGCGGGGCGGCGGGAGGTGCCAGGGCTGCGCGGCGGGGCGGGGGCCTGGGTCTCCCGGGAGGAGCTGGGGAACACCGGGCGCCTCTCGCGGAGGTGCACGGCAAGTTCTCGGGTGAGTGTGCGCGCGTGTGAGCCGGGGCCCCCAGCCGCACGGGCGGGCGTGAGCGCGAGCACACGTGTCGAGTGTGCACTTGCGTGCGCTCCGGGGCCCGGGCTTGGCCCTCTGCGCCCCGCGCCCCTCCCGGCCGCCCGCAGCGGCTCCCGCCGCGCTCGGTCCTCGCCCGCCGCGCCGCAGTCGCCACCACCGCCGCCGCCCAGCCCGCCGGCCGCCCGTGCCGGGCACCTGTTGGAGGCCCAGGGACAGGTGCGGGGGCTGGACCGGGCAGGGGACAGGGGCGGGTGCGGGTGAGAGGCGGAGAAAACCGAGCCGGGGGTGGGGTCCCCGCCTTGGGAGAGCGGATGGCCCTGGCTGAGGACGAGGCGGGCAGGCAGGCAGAAGCCTGGGCTGAGTGAAGAGACGCTTGGAGGGGTGGGTGACAGCCTGGCCAGCCCCGCGCCTGGTGCAGAAGATGGCCAGAGCCCCAGAGCAGCAGAGGAGTGGAGCGGTGGGGTCCCTGGAGGATTTGAGGGGATGGGGACGGAGGGGGAACCCCGGATGAGGGGATAGCCCCGGAAAGGTGACGGAGGGACAAGGTGCAGGGAGTGGGCAGGGTTCAGGGGGAGTCACGACCCGTCTGCCAGGACTGATCTGGCGGCGCAGCCAGCCCCTGTGAAAGCCAGGCCTCCTGCTTGCCCCACCAGCTAGATCATCCTCTCCCTGACACCCAGGAAGGGAGGCAGCGAGGCTCCTGCAGACCCCAGCCAGCCTCTCCAGCGCTGCGCCGGTCTCCCAGCCAGAGGTGCTGCATGAGGGGCCGCAGGGGCGATCGCATGGCCATCAACATCCAGGAGCACATGGCCATCAACGTGTGCCCCGGCCCCATCAGGCCCATCCGCCAGATCTCCGACTACTTCCCTCGCAGGGGGCCGGGACCGGAGGGCGGCGGCGGCGGCGGCAGGGGCTGCGGGGAAGCCCCGGCTCATCTGGCCCCTCTGGCCCTGGCCCCCCCTGCGGCTCTCCTTGGGGCCACCACACCCGACGATGGAGCTGAGGTAGACAGCTACGACTCGGATGATACCAGTGAGTCTGGGGGCTCGGCGAGCGTGTGGGAGGGGCGCGGCCCCCTGAGAGTGCGTGCGCCGAGGGTGGGGAGGAGGGAGGGCAGTCCCGCCGCCACAGCTGCAGTCTGGGTGCAGATTACAGCTTCAGCAAGGCTCAATATTCAATATTTCTGCTGAGACACTCCACCACCCACACAGTCAGTTGCGGCCGAGCCAGGGACCTAGACGCAGGCATGGCACTTGGTTGTTCAGCCTCTTGCAACACACACACACACACACACACACACACACACACACACACACACACACACACACACACACACACGCTGGCAGGCCAGCAGAGATGTGGGCGCATACATTTAGCCACTAGGTCTCACACGCTTGACTCAGACCGAAGGCTCACGCTGCCTTCTCCCTCTTCTCTCCCCTTTTCGGCAGCCGCCCTGGGCACGCTGGAATTTGACCTTCTCTACGACCAGGCCGCCTGCATGCTGCACTGTCGAATCCTCAGGGCCAAGGTGCGCATCCTTCCTTCCCAGGCCACCCGCCCCGCTCCAATCTCCCCCAACCAGAGCAGACCCTTGCTCCCCCTGCGTCTCTGGCACCGTTCACTGGGGATCTAGTCTTGCAGGAGGAGGGAGAGGGGCTTGGGAGTCTCAAGTGCCCTTTGTGCCCTGTCCTCCAGGGCCTCAAGCCCATGGACTTCAATGGCCTAGCTGACCCCTACGTAAAGCTGCACCTCCTGCCAGGAGCCTGCAAGGTATGTCTCCTTCCAGGATTGGCTTGGCTCATGGGTCCCTCCGCGCCCCCACCTTAAGCCTCTGGGGCCCCAGGGTCTATGCATCAGAACCCTTTGTCCCCGTGCCCCAGGCCAATAAGCTAAAAACTAAGACTCAGAGGAACACACTGAACCCTGTGTGGAACGAGGAGCTGACGTACAGCGGAATCACGGATGACGACATCACCCACAAGGTGCTCAGGTGAGGGCTTTTCCTCCAGCCCAGCACCTCTGGGATGGCTGTCATGGTAACCTTCGGTTGGCCCGTCTCCTCTGTCCCGCTTAAGACCCTGTCTTGCTGACAGGATAATCAGTGGCTCCTCAGCAGCAGGTTCAAATGTTCCTACTGGTTTTCCAGCAGAGGACGAGGAGGCTTGGCATCATCTGAAGGCCTTCAGTTGTGCCATACGTTCTTGGCTTCCTCTGGCAACCCTGGCCTTTCATCTGAGACTCAGCCCCAAACCTGCCTCTTCTGAAAGGTTTCTCTGCTCTCCAAGTCCCCTTCCCAGAGCCCTTGGCTTCGGTCAGACCACACACCTCAGGCTCCCTGCTCTGTTCTATACCCACCTATAATCTGAAGAGGAAAGTCTTCCTGTTAGAGAACTTGCTGTCACCCCCAGTGTGACAAGTAGCCCCGAAGGGAAATGCAGCAGCTGAGTCCAGTCAGAAGAGACCTCTTCTCTTCCTTCACTCTTGGGCAATGAGGAGCCACATCGTTTCTTAATCACGGAAGAGGAGAGTTCATCAGGGCTATGCTACAGAAAGCTGACCTTAGTGTCAGGGGTGGGAGAGACAAAGGCTGAAGCAGCGAAATTGGCTTCATGGTAGATGATGAAGCTTCAAGGTCACAGGTGATCAGGTCTGCCCAGGCTAACCTTGAATTCAGGTCCTTCTGCCTCAGCCTTCCAAGTGCTAGGATCACAGTGTGTCTCCATACCCAGTTACTAGGGAGGAAATTTTTCTTTTTCCTTTAACCCCCATAACAGCTTAGGGGGTCTTGGGTGACTTGCTCAAGGTCAAGCAGGCAGTAAGCAGGGCTGGGATTCCAACACACCTTCACCATAAACACTCACCTTTCCGCCCTGTACTGCTGCATCTGGCCCGGGCTGCCTCCCTGCTCAAGCAGGAAAGAGCAGGGCACCCAAGTCAATCAGGAGTCCTTGGCCGGTTACTCCCACTGTGTCTGTGGCCACCTGTGGGGGTCAGCTGGCACTTGTCCCCAGGTGTGGAATGGAGCAGTTTCAGAACCTGTGAGGGCTTCCTGTGCAGCGAGGTAAATCCTGGTGGATACAGGCTAGCCCTGGGCAGAGGCCAGGGCAGATCCCAATGGCCCTTCTCAATCTCCCACCCATTTTACAGATGAGGTGGTGAACTTAGGGAAGAGCTAGGACTGGTCTGAGGACCTTTCTCCTTCCGGAGCGGGGCTCAAATACCCAGGGGCCCTGACCATGTAGTTCCCTGGCAGGATCTCTGTCTGTGACGAGGACAAGCTGAGCCACAATGAGTTTATTGGGGAGATCCGAGTGCCTCTCCGGAGACTCAAGCCTTCACAGAAGAAGCATTTTAACATCTGCCTCGAGCGCCAGGTCCCGGTCCGTGCAGGACTAGCAGGTATGGGGGAGGGGATCTGGAAAGGTCAGCTTGCCATAATCTTTTCTTTGCCCCTTCAGCTTCCTTCGCCCTCTTCAATGTCTGCGGCGCTGAGGGGCATTTCCTGTTACCTGAAGGAGGTGAGGCACATTCTGAGAACCTTGGGTGGGAGGTGTGGGGAGGCCGAAGACTGACCCCTGACCCATGCCTCCTTCTCCGGCAGCTAGAGCAGGCAGAGCAGGGACCTGGGCTGCTGGAAGAGCGTGGGCGCATCCTGCTGAGCCTCAGCTACAGCTCTCAGCGGCGTGGGCTGCTGGTGGGCATTGTTCGCTGTGCTCACCTGGCTGCCATGGATGTTAATGGCTACTCCGACCCTTATGTGAAGACGTGAGCCCTTGCCCAAGCCTGACCCCAGCCTAACTGCTCTGGGACTTCGCCTGTCCCTAACTAACTTCTCAGTTCCCCTTCATCCCCTAGGTACTTGAGACCAGATGCGGACAAGAAATCCAAGCATAAAACGTGTGTAAAGAAGAAGACGCTAAACCCAGAATTTAATGAGGTAAAGATGGCAGGGAGCAGAATAAAGATGGGCTGGGGACAGTGATGTGCCCGGAAGGCTTTCCAGAAAGCACAGCCTGCCTTGTCCTCAGGAGTTCTTCTATGAGATGGAACTCTCCACTCTGGCCACCAAGACCCTGGAAGTCACAGTCTGGGACTACGACATTGGCAAATCCAATGACTTCATAGGTGAGCAGAGGTGCCCACCAGGTGCCCAGGTAAGTGGGGCAGGAGGATGGGCACTGACTGGGTCCGCCTGCCTTGGCTGTTCTTCAGGTGGTGTGTCTCTGGGGCCAGGGGCCCGGGGAGAGGCGCAGAAACACTGGAGTGACTGCCTACACCAGCCGGACACAGCCCTGGAGCGCTGGCACACCTTGACCAGCGAGCTGCCTCCAGCAGCCGGGGCTTTCCCTTTGGCCTGAGCAGACAGCAGTTGCCCAGCACAGGCCCTCTGGGCCGGGTCCAGTACCCAACCTTCGCACGAGTGTGTTGCACGTTTACATGGGGTGGGATGCTCCTGCCCCACACTACCTGTCTTATTTTTGTGAGTCTCTGTGATCGTGGGTCTGTCTTCTTGTGAGGGACTGTGGAGAGCTATGTCCACATATGCAAACTTTCTCCTGCCTGACTTGCTGTTACCTGCAAATATGCAACCACCCCATGCACAGGGCTACGTGGGAGTCTCCTGCCAGTGCCCCAACCACACACACCCTGCTGCTCCTCTCCAGGCTGCCTGGCCCCCTGCCCCACAGGGAGGAGGTCGGATTAGGGGAGATAAGAGGAGGACATTTCCAAAAGAGGAAAGGACAAGAAAGAGCCAACCCTTTATTACAGAGCCTTCACTCAGAAGTCCCAGCCCTGCTCAGCTGCTCTTCTAAAGGGGTGGCCGCCCCACGGTCTTTGCCTCCCAAAGATGTGGCAGAGCCTCTTGGCCACTCATTTAAATAATGTCCCCTGGATGCCGCTGGGATGTGAGGGCAGGCCCCCTGCCACCTCCCTCGGGGACATTTGTGCATGTTTACGCCTTTTCTGATTGTGTCAGTGGCCGAAGCATGGCAACTGAGCATCAATAAACATCTCTTGAGGAAGTGGGCTGGAGTGTGCTGGCTGGCACGGGAGGACTGTGTGGGGCTGGCAGGTAGCGCTGGGCGGCTACTCTGGGATGTCGATTACCAGGTCGTCATCTCCGTCCAGGGCGTCATCCCCGCTGCCTGCATCGCTGAACATCTGCTGAGGGACGGTGCTCAGGATCGTGTGTGGGGGCATCTTGGGAGGAGGCAGGGGGGTCAGGGCTGCCCCAACACTGGCCCCAGAACCCCTGGCAGGGAAAGCCAGCGGCCCGCCCACAGGGCAGTCAGGGGGTCCGACCGCCATCTGCAGCAGGGGGAGAAACACAAGGAGGGCTCGTCAGATGCACTGGACTAGGAAGCTGCACAGTGCCCACCGAAAGCTCAAGGTGTGGGGGAGCGACCCCACCGCAGCCCCTCAGTCTCAAGCCATGAAGTGCCTGGGGTGAGGGGCAGTGATGGAAGCATGATGGGGATGGGGTGAGGGGAGTCTGACAGAGAAGCCGGGCTCTTCCCTCTCTAGCAAGGCACCTGGTTGCTCTGTGCCAGCGGTTACAGCCAGATTCAGGACTAGCTCAGAGTGCCTTCCTCCTGCCTCTGGGTACCTTGGGTGCCACCTGCCACCACTGCTCAGCTCTCCCTCCTCCTCCTGTGAGATCTGCTGTTTCATGGCAGGCATCACAGGCCACCTGAGCCAGAAGCCTAAGCAGCAGCTTTGTTCCCCAGCTTCTGTGACATTGGGGATGAGCCCCTCCTTGGGACCCCAGCAGCCACCAGCCTGGGCCAGGCCCTCCTCTCAGCTCACCTGGTCTAGGTACCAGCCTCCTAACTGGATTCCCTGCCTTCAGACTCTCCCAGATCCAGCTCCTCCTCCACACTGCAGCCAGAGTGATCACTCTAGAACACAAACCTGAGCATGTCACTCCTCTGCCTGAGGGCCTTGGCCTTGGTTGCCCTCAGGATGGGCAGTGAAGTGTGCCTAACAGGCTGGCCCTGCTCCATTTGGCAAAGTCAAGCTTTGTCCTCTGAGTTTGAGAGGACTCTGCTTGCCCCACCCTGCCAAGTCCTCACACATCCTCCCTCAAGAAAGCTCTCTGGGTGTTTGTGACAGGTCATGTGCCGTGGGCACAAACTGAACACCAACTATGGCTCGGGTGACTTCTAGCAATACTTTCTACTTTACAGGACCATCCTGGAAGAGGAAGGTGGTCCTGGAAGAGGAAGGAACTGAGGTGCAAGGATGGATGTTAAAGGAACAGGATGCTAGTGCTCACTGCACAGCACCCAAGGTGCCCATGGGCTGGGGTAGCAAGCAACACACGTGTGTGGTTTCCACCAGAGCCTCCTGGCTGTGGCCCTGTGGCCTGCTCTGCTTGTCAAGGAGCCCCACCCTTACCTCTGCTTGTGGGGTGATGTGAGGGTGCTAGTGTAGGCAAGACCTCAGGAGACATGGATGGCAGACAGGAGGGCCAGCTCTGGAAAGAACCAGGACCCTGAGGGGTCTGAATGAGAATGGCCTGCCCCCCCCCCCCCATAGGCTCTTATATTTGAATATTTGGTCCCCAGCTGGTGAAACTGTAGAAATAAGAAGTTGGCCTTGTTGGAGGAGGTGTGTCACTGGCGGTGAGCTTTGACTCTTTGAAAGCCCTCACTCTTCTCAGCTAGCTCAGATGCTCTCCCTCTCTCCCCTCTGCCCTCCACAGAGGGGGGAATCGCAGATTCTAGTCCTCTGAAACCGTAAGCCCCAAACAAACACTACAGGTGCCTTGGTCATGGTGTCATAGGAATAGAAAAGTAACCAAGACAACTCCCAAATGCACAGAGAGGCAGAAGCACACACGTGACTGCAGAGGACAGCTTCACTCTGCATCATCCCCCTGCTCCCAGGGACCTCTCCTAACCAGGACTTCCTCAACATGACCAAGAGCAGCCAGTGTGGCTCTATAAGGCTGGTAGGCCCCAGGCACTGGCTAGGCTAAGTTTCCATCCTTTAGCTTCTCATGCCCTCCATGACTCAAATAGAGTTCAGTGACATGTCCAAGGTTACAAGGTGAGTATGTGAAAGAGCTAGGATTCAAACGCAGCTAAGGCTAAAGCTCCAGAATTTTGCATCTCTCTCTGCTTACATTTGCAATGTCCTGTGTCTCCCACCTAGAAACTTCTAGGACTGCAGCCTTTTAGTGGCGGGTGTCTTCTGATCTCTAAGTCTAGGCCTTCCTCTGTCCCCTTCAGTCATGCTGCAGCTTACCTCCCAGCAGTCCTCTTTCCCTTCCCACTCCCTCCACTAGAACCATCCTTGATCTTACTGACCCTGTGCTCCAACATTAGCCCTTCCCTGATCCTCCCCATGCCCTGACCCAAAAGCAGCTGACTCTAGCCTTTCCCTGCCAACACAGTCACCACATCTAAACATGTCAAACCTCTCATCTGCCCTAGGGTGCTGTGCCTTGTTTTCTCCCACCTGTCCTGAATGCTAGAAGTGAAATCTTTCAGGAAAGGCCAATATTATTGTCCCAACTGTTCCCCCAGTGCCAGGGATCAACTTCAAGGCCTTGAAACTGCCAGGCAAGAACTACTACTGAGTCACATGCCTAGTCCCAAGAATCCATTGGAGCTGGAGGTACGGGCAGTTGTGGGCTGCTTTATATGAGCTTTCGAACTTGGGTCCCTTGGAAGAGCAGCAAGCGATCTTAACCACTCAGTTCTTTTTCTAATCCCAAGAATTCATTCATTCTTTCTTTTCTTTTTTTTCTATCTCTCTCTCTCCCTATCCCTTTTCCCTGACTCAGAGATACAGTCCTGAGGCCTGGATAGCCACAGACTCATAGAGCGTCACCTGCCGCTGCCTTCCAAGTGTTGGGATTAAAGGTGTGTACCACTACCCCACACGGAATTCACAATCTTAGCCACTAGAAACGTAACCCTGATTCTGCTGTTGTCAGATCAGCGAGGTGGTTAGCTGCTCCCTACTCAACTCTGCTTCTTCCTTCTCCATCCACATAGCCCTATAAAGCCCAGCTCACACAGGCCACTGTCTAGTTAGTATTTCCAGATGCCCTCTCAACAGGTCCAAGGCCAATTTTCATCTCTCTTCTAGAATCAGCTTCTCTCATAATCCTCACCTCAGAAAAACTGCCACTCTACTTCTTCACTGCTTAGGTAAGAGCACTGAAATCCTTCTGGGATTCCTCTCCTGCTCACAGTCAAACTGAGTCTGTTAGGAAACGCTACAGCCCTTCTCTGACATGGATCCATGGTGCACTCTGCTAGGTGTCTTGCAGTCATTTCCTTTCCACCGTTCTGACTGTTCCCAGGCCTGTCTCCATGTAGCCATGTTGCCCATGTATCTAAAATGCAAGGTGAACTAGACCCTGCCCTGCTCACATTGCCCAACTGACTCTCACTCCATTCCCATATAAGCCCTAGTCTCTAGCACCTTAAGACCCTGTGAGCTTTTCAGTCCCTCGGCACTTATTGTCTCTGATCCCCTGCCCAGCTTCTTCCCCACCCCTGCCTGCCCCCTTGTTTGTTTTGAGACACATCCTCACTGTGCAGTCTGGGTTGGCCTGGAACTCACTAGACCAGACTGGCCTTGAGCTCAGAGAAATTCACCTACCTCTGCCTTCCTAGAGCTGGGATTAAGGGTGTGAGCCACCATGCCTGGCGGCCTCCTTGTCTTTCAACAAGCATGTTCAACAGACTGAAACCCTTTTCCAGACACCTCATGGCTTGCTTCTTGTATCCAGTCAATAGCACTCTAGATTCTCCACCTTAAAAGTCCCATCCATTCTGTTCATTACCTCCACTTGGGCCAATCTATCTTATTTATCTTTTGCCAATTTTGCCAGAACAGGAGCTCTGGACAAGGGTTCAGCTCCCTGTTTGTTCTTACAGCTGCAGTACTCCAGATAGGGTCTTCAACATAGGAGGTACTCTATGAACATTTGTTAATTTTGCCTGGATTGTTCACTCTGAGTCACACTCCCCTGTTCTGAACTGTGGGAGCCCTGACCACTCTTCACACCACAATCCTGCTCCACCGTGGCACACTGTATTCATGACCTGCGTAACTATGCTTTCCTCTGGCCATGCTGCAGGTCCCGGTCATACAGCCAGACCTCAAGCACCCTAACTTGGGAGTCTTCCAAGACTGACTGTGACACTGCCAGCAATCCAGGACATCTCTGCTCTGCTCTTCAGTGTTGAGCCTTGAGCTAAGACTAAACATCTCAAAATAACCTTTCAAAATTCCTGGACATTGGGCTGGAGTATAGCCCAGTCAGCAGGGTGCTTGCCTAGAATTGGTGAAGCCCTGGGCTCAATCCTCAGCACTACACAACCAGGTGTGGTGGCATATGCCTATAATCCTAGCACTTGGAAAGCAGAGGCAGGAGAACCAGGAGTTCAAGGTCATCCTACTAGCTAATGCTACAAGAGACCCTCTCTCAAACAAAAACAAAACACCCGAAGTTTCTGTACATGCCCCCCAGGCTTAAGTCTCCTTTAGATGGATGTCCTGCCTTTGTGGCCCCTCCCTATAGTCCCCACATCAGGGTACCTTGAGTTTCCGGGGTAGGCGGGGCCGTTTCTCCAGCTTGGGCCTCAGGGGGCTGGGCTCAGGCAGCTGCAGGGCCAGGTAGTCAGAAGGGAATGGGGGGTAAGGGGGGGAAGCCAGCTGCAGGTGGGAGTAGGAAGATGGAGATGGGAAATGGAGCAGGTGAAGGGAAGAAATGTACACAGGAGAATGGAAAACAAAAGAGATGCTGATGAGTGTGGCTCCCAGGGCTCCTGAGAACAGAAGGGGAAGGGATAGTGGCAGGACTATGTCCTGGGTCTGCCCCCTAGTCCTACACAAGAGAGAAGTAGGCAGCCCTGAATCACACCCTCCAGAGGTTACCTGCTGGCCACATGTGGACACATTCTGAGTTGGTAAGCCTCCAGCTGGAAGGACCTAGCCCCTTTGCCCAACTGATGCCCACTGTATTCCCAGGCATAGTAACACACTACTTCCTAGCCTCGATCCCAACTCACCGAGCTCAGGTATGGGGAGGGGGCCCCGGAGGTCTGCAGGGGAAATCCTGTTGAAGGAGGCAAGGAGAGGCTGGAAGGAGATGGGGCACCCCCCATCGGAGGGCTTCTCTTCCTGGAAAGAGGGAAAAGGATCAGAGGCAGCTGGATGGCCCAGGTTCCCAACCCTGCCCTGGAAAATTCTGGGTCCTGCTTACCTCTTAGGGGCTGGTGTGTCAGACAACTTGGGCGTCCCCTCTGTCTCACTGTTATCTGAAGATGCAGTGGCATCTGAATCTGTGGAGGAGGGCTGGTCAGTGGGGTTCTAGAGGGTTTCCCAATCTACCTCAGAGGACCGTATCCTCAAAACTACAGAAAGCATGCGATTGTGGGGAGTCCCTTAGCTCTCAGCCCTATTTCCTACTTAGGCACCTCTATGGCCCACTTGCCAACACACACAGTGTGCAAGGCTCCTTTCCACTCTCTTGTCTTCTTAAGCACAGAAGCAGGAAGGGGAGCCTATCACCTCTCTTTCCAGATGAGTTCACTGAGCTGAGAAGGTATGTATGGAGCCCGAACTAAGGCCTGTGGTTCTCTGACCATCCTGGGCCACTCTTTCATGTGCCTCTAAGTGACCTTCGGCTTCTGCTCTATTTTTCTTATCCGGGGATCCATTAAAACACTCCTCAAAACCATTAAAACTTCCTCTGCTCCACACTCCAGCTGCTATCAGCTCCGCCACCAACATGTTAAATCACCTACCACCTCAGCACTCTGCCACTTCCTGTCCAACTCAGTGTAGTGACAGTGTCCACTTGCTTTAGCAGTGCTTTCCAGTCTGCCTTAGCAGAGTTCCAAGAACTTGACCCAAAGCCTCCTGCACTCTGGTTCACTGCTTCAGAACTCCAAGCCGGGCCTCCAAGAGCATTCTTCACATTAGCTTCCTTTCTTCCACAGTGACACCGATTTCCTAGCTCACTGTTCTTAGGGGGCTCGTCATTCACGTGGCAATTACTGCTCATGATGAATGTTACCTTCTCCTCAGATCCCTTCTTTATAATCGCTGGCAGGCTTTGAACTCGGAGGGATCTGCCTGCTATTGCCTCCCTACAGTATTTTTTACATTTATGTGTGCCATGTTCATGTGCAAGCCTGAGGGAGTGAGGGGGAGGTGTTCAGCCCCTGAAATAAAGTGAGATGGTTGTGAGCTGCCATGGAGGTGCTGGGAACTGAACCCAGGTCCTTTCCAAGAGCAGTAGGTGCTCTTAGTGCAGAGCCATCTCTTTAGTGCTTTGGTTGCAATTTAAAGTTAATTGTAAAAAAACAAACCCAACCAAACAACAAAACTTAGGTTGAAAAAAGAGCAATCCATGTTTCTGCTCCTGTTGGACACGCCAGCTTGGCATACTCTAGCGAGCTCTAGCCTGTCTTCACAGGTGAACTGCTGCTTCAATTCCTACACTTCTTAAAATGGTTTTTTCTCCTTCAAACACAATCCCGATACTAGATGCTTTTGTGTGATCTACAAGCCTGGATAACTTTACCATTCTGTTGGGTTTTTTCCTTAAACACATCTCTGTAATCCTGGCTGGCGTGGAATTCAATGTGTAGACTACGCTGGCTTCCAAAGGGCTGATTCTCCCGCCTCAGCTTCCTAACTGTTAAAAGTACAGGCACGTTCCACCATGCCTAACTGCTTTTCATTCATTCATTTTTTGAGAAAGGGTCTTACTTGGTAGCTAAAGCTAACTTGGAACTTAAGAGCTATTCTCCTGCCTCAGCTTCATGGTGCTGGGATTACAGGTATAAGGCATCATGCCCCTGGTGGCTTCTGCATTTGTAGCTTCTCATTTTTATTTATTTGAGATATTATGTAGCTGAAGTCAGCCTTGAATTTCTGGTCCTGCTGCCTCTGTCTTTCAGGAGGGCTGGGATTAAAGGCCTGTGCTACCATGTCTTGCTTTACACCCCCTTACCCCTTGTCTTTGAAACAGTCTCGTTTAGCTAGGTTGGAACTCATTTATTTAAAAAAATTACATTTACTTATTTATGCGCATATGGGCGCAGGCACGTGAAGGTCAGACTACAGCTAAAGGGAGCCATTCTCTCCTACACTGTGTGTCCTGGGGACTGAACTCAGGCAGTCAGGTTCAGCAGCAAGTGTCTCTGTTCCTCTCAAAAGGAACTGGGCAAGGGGCTGGAGAGATGGCCAGCTACTTAAGAGCACTGGCTGCTCTTCCAGAGGACCTAGGTTCAATTCCTACTATTCACCTCACTGCTCACAATCATGTATAATTCATTCTAGGGGAGATCCGATGCTCTCTTCTGGCCTCCACAGAAACTGCGTGTACACGGCACACAGACATACATGTAGGCAAAACATCCACACATAAAAATAAATATCTTAAAAAAAAAAAAAAAAGCTAAATAGGCAGGTGGGTGGGTGTGGTGGCACAAGCATGAAATCTCAGCACTGGGGAGGCTGAGGCTAGAGGATTATTAGTCTAGGACCAACCTAGACTAGAAACCAGGGTTTCAAACGAAGAACAAACCTCAACACCTCAAACAACAACAAAACATAAACAACTGTAAAGATTATGAAACTATATAAAATTCAAAATTTAATGTTCACAAATAAAGTTCTAATAAAACACAGCCATTTTGCTTATTCATATGCTGGCTATGGCTGCTTTCACATGAGCTATGCAGTTTACTTCAAAGACAGTATTTATAAACCAAACACATTTTTTGACTCTCTGCAAAGGAAACTTATCAACTCCTGATATACTATAATTACTACCATTTAAGCTGATTTTAATTTTCATCAAGCTCTTACCATCACTTAAAATTCTAGTTTGTTTCTTTTGTTTGTTTTTTTTTTCCCCCCTGAGATAGGGTGTCTCTGTGTAGCTCTGAAACTTACTCTGAAGACAAGGCTGTCCTGGAACTTACTCTGTAGACCAGGCTGGCCTTGAACTCATAGAGATCCACCTGTCTCTGCCTCTCAAGTACTGGAATTAAAGGTGTGTACCACTACCACCCAGATCTTTAAAAAATGTAAAGTGATTTTATTATGATTACTATTAGTGTGTTTGTGCAAATGACGACTTTCAGGAGTTGTTATTCTACTTTGTAGGCTCTAGGAACCAGGCTCCTCTGTTTGTTTTATAGGCTGGGTCTGCATGCCTCTGCCTCCTGAGTGGCTGCATTACAGGCATGGGGTACTAGACCTTTCTGTTCATTTTTTCCTGTATTGCACATAACAGGGATATACATGACAAGAGGTCAGAGGCTTCATTCATTTTGCCAGCCTGTACCAAGCACAATGCCTGGAACACAGTGGGTAAGTAACTACTAAGAACTGCCAGGCTTAGCCAGGCATGGAGGCACATGCCCTTAATCCCAGCACTCAGGGAGGCAGAGGCAGGCAGATCACCTTGTCTACAAAGTGAATCCAGGACAGCTAAGGCCACACAGGGAAACCCTGTCTGGAAAACAAAACAAATAAAAAAAGGATTGCCAGGCATGGTGTGTGAGCCTTTAACCCCAGCACTTGGAAGGGGGAGGCAGGTGGACTTCTGAGAGTGAGTTCTACAGAGTGAGTTCCAGGCCAGCCGGGGATAGGGGGAGAAAAGGCAGAAGGCAAACAACTAGGCTTAAGAACTATTGGAGGAGCTGCATCAGCTCCCGCACCCCAAGAGGACGGAAGCAGGGACACTTGTTTAAAGTGTTTAAAGTGCCAGTATCTCATGTCTTCCTGCAAATGTTCATGACTTCGCTCACCCGAAGACTCTTCATCCACGTTTTCATACTGCAGAAGTCGATCTAGAAGGAAACTGGAGAAGAAGTGGAAAGGAGAATGATTATTCCCATTTTAGCGATGTTCCTGGGCTCTATCTAGCTGCTCCTAAGAAGGCCTACTGCCTCCTCCTAAGAGCGCAAGCATTTGGGGTCCCATTCCGGAATGGAGCGAGGAGGATTCCCTCGGAGCAACATCGCCCCTGTGCCCACAACAAGCCTTACCTCTTGTCCCGGGAAACCTTCAGCAATTTCCTTTGCGCTTTTCTGAGCTCCTCCTGGAAGCACTCGTGTTCCTGTATGGGACAGGGCCGGTGCTGAGCCAGGGCATCCGTAAAGGGCCAGAACCCAGAGACATCTCTCCCTACCTACCCTCCTTTACCACATGGGTAAACTGAGGTCCTCTCAGCGCTAGGCCTCACACTCCACAACCTCCTCATCCCAGCACTCACGTAAATGAGAAATTTGAGCTTCCGCTTCAGATTCCTGTATTTCTTTTTGTAGTCCACTTCGCCGTCCGCTGGTCCGTTCATGACCCGCCTGGGAGTAGCGCCCCAGAGTGGAGTCCCGCTACCCGGAGCCAAGTCGGCCCGGCCTCCCACGCCTCCACTTCCGGAGACTTTGCAACGCCGTACGAGGCGGACTACAACTCCCAGCGTGCTCCGCGCGCAGGGAGCGTAATCACGGCGCCCAGTCCTCCTAGGGAAGACTTGACAGGAAACGCAGTTTCCAGCGGCTTCGCGGTGCGCTGAGGTCACGGAGGAGCCGGACCCTGGAGGGCGCAGTGATGGATTCTAAACTGATTAGAGACTTGAAAGTATGTTGGCGAGGATATCCTTTCCCTTCTGCCTTTCGAAACAACAGAGACCTAACTTGGTGACCCTGACTACAGAGCACCGTGGAGAGTTGATTACGTCTCACACTCAAGAGAGTGCCGGCGCCAAACCGGCTTCTAAAGAGAATTTTACTAAGTAATTTTTTAACAACGAGCAGAAACCTCGAGACTCCCCAACTGCTCAGGGAAAGCAAGAGCTGGCAAAGCTTGCGGCCCCGATGCTCCACGTCCGGAGCCCAACGGCTCCGCCCCTCAGGAAGCCGCCGCACTGCGCGTGCGCAAACTACTGTCAACCGCACGCCAGGCGGCCCGGAAGGAAAAAGGCGGGAGCCACCAATCCCCGGTGACGCAAAAATGGCGCTGAGAGACGAGATGAGGGAATTCACGCGCAGCTTCTTCCGAGGTTCCCCTGACCTCAGGTGCATAGCGTATTAGTCTAGTTGGGAAAGGGCAGGAGTTGGACTGGGACTCTTATCTGGACTCGTGTCTTTGTAGCACGGTTACGCATTCCATCGTGCGACAGAAATTTTTGACTCACGTGGGTCGGCATCATCTTGAACCTGAGGAGAAGCAAGCGTTGAAGCGGCTGGTGGAGGAGGAGCTGCTAAAGATGCAGGTGTGGGCGTGAGCCTGGGCCAGGAGAGACAGGGTTTGTTGCTGAGGGGTTGGGGAAGGACACAAGCTTGGTTCGGTTTGCCCTCATGCTGCACCCACAGGCGGATGCTGGTAGTACCAGGGAAGGAAAGCTAGAATTTATCAAAGTGAAGAGGTCTCCTGCTCCCAGCAGTGACCCAGAGAGTAAAAGGTTCCGCTTCAATTCAGAATCAGGTTAGTACCGTCTCCCTTGCTTATCTGTGTGTGACTCCAGCATCATTGGTTTATTAAAAAAGGCAATGTGCATGGTTAATTGTAAGGCAGTAAATGGGTGGGGTGGGGAGGTAGTGAGTCAGGACCCAGGTGGACCTATAGCTGTGGTGCTTCCTGCTGTCTGTCACACTTTAATTAGAGTAGACCTAGAAGCATCCTTTACTAAATGGAAGGGACAGGAGGAACCCATCCCAGTCCCGTCCTCGTGTTCCAGAATCCAGCTCTCCACCATCCAGTCCAGACTGCTCAGGACCCCCGACAAAGAGCAGCAAAACTAAGAAGGCATGTCCAAGGAGAGCCTTAAAGAAAGCAGTTGAAAGTACAGATGAAGAACAGCAAACAGACCTGGCTGCAAAGATGGGATCAGAAAAGAGCAGTGAAGAGGAAGGGGAGGACTCTGTCAGATCAGGTGAGGTCTGGAAGGAAGAGAACACTAAGGAAGGCGGTGTAAAAAAAGAACAAAAGAGCAGGGCTAAAAAGAAAGCCAAAAACAAGCAAGCGTCCTCAGCAAATAAGAAGCAGGCTAGGGAAGAGAGTGGAAGCAGTGAGGAAGTTGACCTGCGTAGAGCAAAGGTGGAGGGAAACACAGGTGCCAAACCCTACATGGAAAGTGAAGACAGTGAAGAGGAGATCCTAGCCAAGAAGAAAGAACGCAGGGAGCCCAGAAGTAGCAACAAAGGAGAGAGAACAGCCCAGGAGAGAATGAGCTCTAATAAGCAGAAAAGCAAGACTGTGAGGCTAACTGGAGGCTTGGGAGACAGTGAGGAAGAGAGGGAAAGGGAGGCAGTAACAAGTGGGGACAGCAGTGGGGAGGAAGAGAACTCGACAGAGAGAAAGAGCGAGGACAGGACCCAGACTGAGAGTGGGAGAAGGCAGAGTACAAGCAGTGAGGAGACTGAGAACAGCACGCAGGGGCAAGCGGCTGCCCAAGGCACCACAGAGACAGGCACAGTAGGTAGCACGAGCAGTGACAGTGATGAGGAGAGGGAAGTGAGCGACTCCCGGGCAGGAGAGGGCACCAAAGAGAGGAAGCCCCGATCTTCCAAGAGCTCCAACAAAGGCAAAGCACGAAGCTCCTCTTCCTCATCCGATGCAAGTCCAGAACCCACAGGTCAGAAGGTGAGAGGACATACCAAGTGGGTGGCCTCCACTAGGGAGAAGGCTGGCCTTTAGCTGTAAATTCCTTACTAGGCTGGCTCTCATCGCCGTGGAGAGGACCACCCAGCCGTGGCGAGACTGAAGCGTTATATCCGAGCTTGTGGTGCCCATCGAAACTACAAGAAGCTGCTGGGTTCCTGCCGTTCCCATAAGGAGCGCCTAAATGTCCTCAGGGCTGAGCTGGAAGCGCTGGGCATGAAGGGTGAGACAGGATGTGCCTGAGAGCAGCAGGAGGGCCTGGGCACCGGGGAGGAGAGGCTCAAGGCTGCTTCTACTCCAGGCAATCCTTCCTTGGAGAAGTGTCGGGCCCTAAAGGAGCAGCGGGAAGAAGCAGCTGAAGTGGCTTCCTTGGATGTTGCCAACATCATCAGCAGTTCAGGTAAGGAATTTCCTCTTCGGGAAAGGACGAGGCTGGGGTTAGATAACTAATTTCCTCTCCCTGCCTCCCAGGCCGACCACGAAGACGAAATGCCTGGAACCCCTCGGGGGAAGGAATCCCCTCAGGAGAGCTTTATCGCCGAACCCTGGATTCGGAAGAAGAGCGGCCACGCCAAGCACCTCCAGACTGGTCCCATATGCGTGGCATTATCAGCAGTGATGGTGAGAGTAGCTGAACTCCATGCCCCAAGATGGATCTTACCCTGTTATACAAGAGCCTGTACCACTGAAGCCATTTTCAAAGACAGACTGTAGGCACAGGGATCTAAGTTGCTGGCACACTACTCATGTTCTCTAAGGTGTTTTGGGGGTTTGGGGTTGTTGTTTGTTTTGTTCTTAAACACCCAATAAAGAAATGTTTGTAATTACTTCATCTGAACTTGTCCCCAACTCTCATTCCCTGTCTGTCCTTTGGGACCAAGAAATTGGGAAGTAGCACTTGCTACTAGGCAGTAGTCTCATTCTTTCTTACAGACTCCCCAGTTGTTCCAGCCTCTGACCTGTGTCATCCAGACTGTCACCAGGCTGTATTAGAGAATATGGCTCTTCCTCCCCCAGTATGACAAGTTGGTTTCTCTGATCAGACTGGCCTTAACAATGTGAAGTTTCCTGGAAGATTCCATGCCTAGCATGAGCAGGGCCCTGGGTCTCAACGCCAGCAACACACAATTTCAGGCTCAGTTCATCTTTGCCCACACTGCCAGGGACTCAGCCTCAAAGAGACAGGTAGAGTAGGCCTGACTGGCCAGAGCCTGACAAACCTGCAGAAACTCAAGTGTCCAGGCAGGCATCTAGTAAGATAGACATGGGGCTGCTGAGGAGTTTATACACCAAACAGCTTTCTGAGAATCTTCAAACCCAAAGAAATGTAGAAGGGTTCAACAAGCTGATGACCTCCCAAGCATATGCGCAGTCACTAAAATCACTAGAATTTCAGTCACACAACCCAACTAAGTACAAGTAATACTGTCATTTGCTACTGAGCCATCCTTCACACACACCTTAGACAGAAAGGGAGAAGTCCTGGGGTCTGTTAGAATAACCAACAGTTTATTAAAAGCTTGCCCTAGGGCTCTGTGCCAGCCCCATAGCTGAGAGGGGCTCCCATGGCTGCTCCCAGGCTTGGCAACAGCCCTCTCCAAGGTCCTTCCCTTGTCCCCCGCCCCAGCCCTGACCCCAATTAAAAAAAAAAAAAGACAAGACGGCACAGGACTTCAGACAGCAACAGGAGAATGGTGAGACCCAGGCACCCTGACCTTAAGACCCCTGCTCCTTCTGGAGGAAGGCCTCCTCCCATTCTCCTTGCCTTGGCACCAGACCTGCTCTGCCATATCCAGGTCTGGGGGTCCTGTTGTCCCCAGTTCATGGCCCCATCACAAGGGTTGTATAATTCTCTGAATATAATATATCTAGACCCGCCCTTCCCCTCCCCCAGGGGACCAGATGAATATTTGACACTCACAGTTCCCACCTTTTGTAGGTGGTAATGGAGGGAGACCCTGGCACCATGGTGGGGAGGCAGGGCTCCTGGTCAGCCTTGAGGCACCAATGCCCAAGCTGGACTGGGGTCACTGGCCAGCCCCAAGAGGCTCATGAGATGAGGAGGTCTGATGGGGGAGCTGGAGCCAACACCCGGTCCCCACCACCACTGGGTAGGCTTCAAGCACACTGCCTGTAGGATCAGGCACCGCCCACTCCCACCTTGCCCGGTTCCTCCGCTCACCACCCTGTACTTCAGGAGTAGAAGTGGGAGGAGCCGTTGAGGATGTGGGAAGCAACACTGGTGCTCCGGCTCAGCGGCCCCGGCACTGCAGCAGGTGGGCCCACGTTCTCACCGCTGCTGCCCCCTGACGCTGCCCGCCTCAGGGGTTGAGGGCTGTTTCTTAGCAGCAGCAGAGCCCCTCCACGGGGTGTTCCGCTCTGTGTTGGCGGACCTAGCCAGTTTGGAGGCCCTGGGGGAGCCAGCAGAGCTGGCTGACGCCAAGCTGGTGGGGGCATGCCTGGTGGAGGAGGGCCATGGCTCCAATGGGCCCCTGAACGGGGAACTGGACGGGAGGGCCAGGCAGGGGCTGGGGGTGGAGCAGGATAGCCCTGGGCAGCAGCTTCAGCTGGAATACCCCCCAGAGCCATGCTGGAGAAGCCCAGCCTCATGCTCTCAGCATCAAAGGCCTCGATCTCCCGGGCCTGCCGCTCAAGCAAACTCCGGATCCGCTCAGAACGCCCTGTTTGCAGGGCCAGCAGCTCTTCTTCCACCTGGGACACCCAAAACAGGCATGAGAGTCCTGGAATGGAGAGCCTGCCCTCCCTTTCCCATCTTGGGGGACAAGCCTCTTACCCGTTGCTCTAGCAGCGCCCGCCTGAGTGCTACTCTCTGCTCCAGCTCCCTCAGCTCCCGCTCGTGCTGGCTCTCTGTGCGGATCTTGATCTTGCTCTGGTAAGCATTGAGGAGCTCCAGCTCCTGCTGGAGCTGTTGGCGCAGGGCCTGGAACT